ACTGATTGCACAAGCCAGTTTGTAATCATATTAAAAAAAAAAGATCTTTACGCAACATACTACATTCGCTTATTTTTACTACAAAGGTATATTTTTAAGTAAAAACTAGCAATCCATTAAAATTATATCTTCTTCCTGAAATAGGAATCTTCTTGCAATTGATTTTCAACGTTAGAAGATTCTTGACAAGTCTGTTTGAAAAATCTTTGAAGAAATTTAAACACGACATTTTTGTATTCCCCGCGATATAGAAAATACAGTTTCATTCTGTTTACTCTTACAAAACTTTTATTATTTTTATAGCAAAATTGTGGACACAAGTGCAGGGTACGCAGCTGGTGCGGGTAAAGTGATCGGTAAACTCGGAAAGATAAGGGTAACATCACTTCGCATCATGGATGATCTAAGATCAGTTGTCCATAGCATATCTCCGAGTCCATTCTTTGGCATTGCGTATTGCTTCGCTTTCGTTTACTTTCCAGAGTTCAGCTACATCATTTGCCAAAGGATCATCCGGATTTGGTGCACTTAAAAGTGCTTGTATTGATAATAAAACTGTTCTGATTTGAAGAGCAGGACTCCACTTATCTTTAAGAATATCCAAACAAATCCTGCCCAATCTATATAACAAATATAAATATTTTCTGTATATAAATATAAATTTCAAAGAGATTTAAAATTTATTTATTTTTTTATATTAAAAATACTTGGTGAGTTACATAAATTAATGTATTTAAAAACTAACATGGAGTACTCGCACTGCTAGAAAAAAATTTTAAAAATTGTTAAAAGTCACATCTTCATAATTACCTGTCTATATTTGGATGATAAATTTTTGTAATGAATCTAACTTTAGGAGCAGACATTGGATAGTCTTCTGGTAGGAACAACTCAAGTTTAAAAAGTCCACCTTCAAACGGCGAATCTTCAGGTCCAGTTACAATTACATGAAAATACCTAGCATTTGTATCATCTGGCACAGCACTGATACCAGGAACTGGCTCTTGCATTAGTCTCTGTGTTTCTTTGATAATTCTTCTTGGTAGCGCAGCCATGTTCGATCAAACTTCTCTAAAAGAAAATATCTATGCATCTTTTAACTTACTTTCTAAATAATAAATATATGTAAACTAAAAAAAAACATACTATTATATTAAAAAAATTTACTACAAATAGATATTTATTTGAATAATAATACATAAATATTTCATGTGTTTTAAAAGCAACGTTATATATTTTACTTAAATATATATATTGCACTAACATAGGTACATTAATAAATAAATAATATAAACTAAATAATATAAACTAATAGTATTACCTTTAATATTCTTTACTTAATAACATATATACATTATATTAAAATTTTCACACATAATTTATACAGACATGAAAGTAATGAATAAAATATAGCGTATTGCAATGATAATTATAAAGACTATATAAAATTATACTACAAATATAAAAGTATAAAAACAAATAAATGTATTAACATTTTTAATGAAATTTATCGCAAATTATAAAGTATCTACATATAGGTACATTACACTAGAGCTTGTAAATGACTAACAGAAGAAAATTTAGGTTATCAAAGAATGTTTTGTTTTATTTCTGTAAATACAATATACATGACAAACAGAAATTAAATCTCGAACAACCAAATTGTAAAAATCTCTCATAATTGTAGTAATTCAAGTGGATTTACTGCTAAATGACAGTCTTTCACCGTACATGTAATTTTGCCGAAACCGATAATCCTTAATATAATACATACAACTAAACAAACAATCGAATATAAATATTCCTTGTATGTGGTATTGACAACAAAAGTAAATTAAATTGTTTAGAAAACGAACAACAACATAATAATTGAATTTTTGCCGAATTATTTCTGCCAACCTCCAAAGCTGTTGCAAGGCTACTGCATATGCGTAAACAAAGAATTCGTACATCGAGTCACGTACCGCGTAAAATTAAGCTGCACATAGTGTCTCACGTGTGTAAGAATGTTTGAAATACGAGCAATCTTCATATAACAGTAAAATACGTACGATTATCTGAAAATATCCCCGCGTCACCCCGCAAAGTGTGGCAGATTGTCCGCCTCTCTGGTAGCCTTTTCTTCTAGAAACCTCGAAATCGATTTTTAATTCTATTTTTGCAGCACTTTTGCGTTTCGTAATAATCGGCTTTACAGCCGACTTTAAAAATCTGCCTGGGATCTATGGTGCAATCTCAAAAAGATACTTCGACGAAGTGTTAATTAAATTTCCACACGCAAATGTGTGTTCAGCCCTCACAACCGCTTCTCGCGATTCATCTTATCACGCGTTGATGGCGCTGCGCACCGATTTACTGCGTAAACCAATTTAACAATGTCTCCAATACTTTCTTCCTGTCATACGAACGATATGATAATTTTTAAATTTAATTAGTTCATATACATGCCTACGGGTGGAAATGTTCTTATATAAAAGACATTGGTCAGATTTTGTCTCATTTTTGCTTCCACATGCTTATTGGTTAGGTAACCAATGAGCTTCTAGAGTACTTTGAAAACGAAAGTTATTATTAGTTATTATGTTTCGCTGTTGCTCGTAAAATATTAATTGATAAGTTCTATTCTTTCTATATTAGTTTTAGTTTCTATATTAGTCTAGCGTTTTATTAATTCGATATTGTAAGTTAATCGTACAAATATGTATACGTGTATATAATACTTGTATGTGATCTTAATTTTAAAATATCTTCGATAAAATTTTCATGTTTTATTTAATACATATATCTGTACTTGTGTTACATAAAAGAAGTTACATATATGTATATCTTGTTACAAAATTAAATTTAGACGTGTATATACAAATTATATATTTATTTAATTAAATTCTCAAAATGTACAATTTAAAAAATGAAAACCAAAATTATTAATATAATGCAACATTATATATATTTAATAAAATTATTCGAATCAGTATGGACATAACTTAATACTATGGTGCAGTTTTTAATGCAGCAATATCAGTGCAACCAACAAACTGCCGCGAAACTTAGAAGACATTTGTCGTAAAATGTCTTGTATTACTGTTGAAATGTCAGTTCGACGTTCTCGTTATTTGAAAACGATTTGTAGTCAGCCGTTCTTTAATATTTTGCAATTGTAATTACAATAAAAGTAAGTTGTGAATTGAAAATGTAAACATTACTATTATTTGAAATTTTTATTGAGTTGAATATAAATAGATCGTAAATACGTTTGTTAATTGTATTAGAAATTACTAGGTGATTTCGTAAATATGTTTGTTTACATGTTTATATAGATAATTTCTATTTGTTACTTTGTAAAGTTAAAGACGTGAATGACAGTAACATAACCTAAAACTAGTAACGAAACATAAAGTTGTTAATACATCATAAAGCTGTTAAAATGTTATAATTATATGTATGATATGTTTTCTTAAAGTTATTATTATTCCTATTTCTTGCTTTCTATTCAATGTGAAAGATCTGTATTTGTAATATTGTTAATAAAAACAATGAAATATTAAAATTTGATTTTTAGCATTTTTTCATTGCGTTGTCTTTCAATTTTGATATTTTAAACTTGGTTATCTGTATAATCTAAGAAATAATATTCAGTTTTTTTTTATAGGACTTTATTAAAGATGGCTGATGTAAGGTTACTCATACAAGAAGAAGGTCGGGCAGCTAGAAATTTGATAGCTTTCAATGTACCAGTTGGAACGAACAGTACTGAAAAAGTTACCAAAAAACCACCTAGTGTTCCAAGAATATCACAAATAAACACTACTAAAAGGTCTATGAAACCAACACCTAGAGTAAGATCAGCTTCTACTGGTCGGGATAAAAAATCTGGTAAAATTTTTTTACTTATAAATTTATTTTTAACGAAAGGTGAAGTTTTCATATAAATTACATACATTATTTGTTGGAGATTTTATATTCATAAATTTTTAACGTACTGACTTAATATTTTTTTATTTTGTTATATTAGAATTACAGGCACGATATTGGGCATTTTTATTTGGTAATTTGCAAAGAGCAGTAGATGGCATTTATCAAACATGTGAAGAAGATGAAAATATTTCTGAGTGCAAAGAAGTGATATTAGTTTTAGAAAACTATACTAGAGATTTTCACAATTTGATCGAATGGTTTAAAGTTAAATGGGCCTATGAAAATTCGCCACCTCCCTTAAGACGTACTCCTTTAGCTTGGGAAGTTAGAAAAACTTCTCCTTGCCGAATATGGAATTCAACAATGATTCCAAAATCCACTAGTCCCTTACAAAGAATGAGTCCCACAGAATCTGTTTGTAGAAGCCCTGTGGATCAAATTATATCAGAAAATAAATCTGTTACTACAAACAATAAAACAACTCATATAAAAGGAGAAACTGTCCACAAATTGACAAAGGATAATAAAAGTAATGTTTCCAAAAATAATATGACAAATGTAAGTGAAAAGTATAAAAATTTGGACAAGGCTACAAATCAATCATTGAATAAGGATAAATTAACTTCAATGAAAATAAATAAAACTCTTGTAAAACATACAATAGCTACAAAATCCAATAACAGCATTATTACAGAGCAAAAACCAAATGATAGTTTATCTCGCGAAATAAAAGGTAAAGCGGATACTAAAAGTACATCAAAATCAGTTAAAACTTTACATTATGCTACAATTAAAATAACAGATTCTAATGTAATAAATGAGAAAAATGAACAAACTGATAAAAATGTGCAATTAACTTGTACAGCAGTAGAGAAAGAATTTTCTAAATCAAATAGCATAGATAAATTGAATTCTCAAAATAATTTTCAAATAAAACCATTGGGTCCTAAAAATGATTTAGGACTAGGAAAAAATGAAATCAATTCTAAAGTAAAAAGACAAAGTATAGGGAAAAATATTAAAACTGTTGGTATAGAAAATGTAGCAACTGAAAATAAAATAACAGACTCCAATAGCGTAATAAAAGAAAATAGTAATACTATAGTAAATAAAAACATACAGAATACTACGAAAGTTTCAAATAAAATTAATCAAAAATTAAAAAGACAACCAAGTGTCAATGATAATGGAAATAAAACTACAACAAAATCAGATACATCACCTGGTAATTCTACTAAGGAATTAGTTACTACAAATAAACCAGCATATTCTACAGTATCGCAAATGAAAGTTGTTAAACCAAAGCAACCAAGCCTTTCAGAAACTCCAAAATTTGTTAGAAGCAAAACCACATTAAGTGACAAAAATACATCAATTTCAAATAAAGCAAGACCTGGGACGTCTGTTATAGTAAGGCAACGATTTCAGTCAACTGACAATAAGGTACCATTACTCTTTTTTATAACCTTAATTTGAAATATATACTTATAATATATACTTATATATAAGTTTGTATTAGATTTCAGAACAAAATTCATTAAAAAAGGATCAAAATAGAGATATAAATGGTTCAGTAGAGGTATTAACGAAACAGACGCATATAAAAACTAAAGAAGAAACCGACGGTTGGCAAACAGTTCGAAGTCGTTATAGAAGAGGCAGTACACATAATTTGAATATGTCTACAAGATTTCATAAACCAAGTACTGCAACATCGTTACCAGCTTTATCAATTGAAAGTCCTGTTGAAAAGAATAAAAAAAATTGTTTAACTCCAGATGGAAACTGTAAACAGAAAAGGAAATGTATTGTAGAGAAAGAAGGGAAAAATATAAGTAATGAAGTAGAAAAAGTTAAAGGAGAATCAGCTGTAAACCTTACCATTAAGGATAAGGTAGAAGAAGTTTTTAAGAATACCGTTAATTTAAACGAGATAAATTCTACATCAATGATCGCAGCTATTTTTAAAAGTGATGCGGAATTACTTGAGAAACGTATACAACAATTTATGGCTGCTCAAGCAGAAAGAGAAAGAATAATTTTAGAAGAGGAAAGGAAAACTGAGGAAGCTGATTCACAACGATCGCAACAGTTGTCAGATGAAGAAGCATCCTTACATAGGCAAATTTTAGAATTGGAA